GATCTGAACCCACCCATTATGTCTTGGTATTAACACCACCTTTCACAAATGAAGCAAACGAGAACTTATTTTCCCATCTTGTGAGATCTGGATGTGCCTTTAAACTCCTGCTTTAGTTTTGTTTTTAAGAAGATTGATGGACAGGGCAGAGCAGAACATTCACCTATGACTCTCACGTCTCCCAAGTTTGTAACAGAACTTTTCATCCCAGTAGGCTTAAACAGAACAAGATGTGACCCATCCAGGAATCACTCTGTGATTTATTGAAGTCCTGAAAGAAAAATAGCAAGACCAGTGCTTTTAATAAACTAAAAAGGAATAAAGCTGAAATCAGGTGTCTGGAAACCAAGATAGCGTACATTCTAGTCCTGCCTTAGGCATGAACACCTAAGTGAATGACTTTAAGCCAGTGATGGCTAATCTTTTTGCCAAGTGCCCAAAGTGCATGTGCATCCCCAAAATTCAATACATGTGCATCCCCTGCACATATGCCTTGGGCCCGTGCATGCGCCTGCATCTCCATGCATGTGCCCTGCCCTGTGCATGCGCCCACCCCCCTGCACATGTGCAGCAGAGACTTGAAGACCAGCTGGCATGCGTAGTGGAGCTCAGCTGGGGCAATGGCTCGCATGTCCACAGAGAGGGCTCTGTGTGCCACCTCTGGTACACATGCCATAGGTTCACCATCACAGCTTTAAGCCAATCACTTTCTTTGAGCCCAATTCATCTCACAGGGTGGTTGTTCTGGAGCAAATAGGAGGCAGAAGGAATATTAGGTATGTTCATCACTTAGAATTATTCATACAAATAATACAGTAAATGTGGGATAAACAAATCTTTAAAATAGATACTTCTAGAAAAATACAATAATGTAACTGCAAAGGATGTATGTACAGCCATCAAAAGTTCAAAATTTGTTGTATGTATCTTGTTTTGGGAGGAATGGTGTAATTTCAACCAGTTGCTAAGCAACCAGTCATTAAACAAGGAAGGTATCAAAAAGGTCACACTTTTTGATGCACATAGAATCATGCCAACTGATAGAAAGATAATTAAAAATAATAATGTACGTGTGCTTACCTAAAGGCAGTAAAACCCAAAGCACTTCATTACTCCATTCACACTTCATTTACATTTCAAGTTTTTGCTGAGTTATACACACATGCTTTCCTTCCCTAAATTTTATCCTTACACAAAAAGTTATAGGGAAAGTTATTGATCCAAAATCACTCAAAGAACTTTATGCTAAGCAAACTTATAAAGCTGAAACCTAAAAAGTTGTATCGCATTGGTTTTCTTTTTTTAAAGTAGTGGCTGTGCATCATTGATGGTAAGAGTCGACTACTGAACAGATATGAAACAGTTGCAATAGCAATAGCAGACGTATATACCATAGTGCTTTATAGCAATCTGAATAGTTTACATTGTCAGCATATTACAGTCTGGGTCTTCATTTTATCAACCTCAGAAGGATGGCAGACTGAATCAATCTCGAGCCCAGTCAAGATCAAATTCCAGGCTGTGGGCAGAATTTGCCTGTAATATTGCATTCTAACCACTGTGCCACCAGGGCTCTGACATTTTGCGTTTAATGGTCATTATGCAGGACTGGGTTATCCTTAGAAAAGGTATCCTACCCAAAATTTCATAAGCTATTTGTCCTCAGTTGCAGTGACATCTTTAAAGTAACATACAAGTGTCACTCCATGTAGCGTCTTTATATACACTGGAGATTGTGACATTATGTCCTTCATCCTTAGCCAAGAATATACTTGGTTGACCTAACCATAACCATATCATATGCTTATTCCCAAATTAAATAACTAGCATAGAAGCTCTTCCATATTCTTTTTAGAGGTATTAAGTTTAAATGCCATGATAAAAATTGACACTAAGCAAAACTCCATTTTGAAGGCAAACACAAACTATTTCCTGATCAATCATCTTGGAAAACAAAACAGTATCTGGGGCCAGGACTCACATTTGAACAAACAGTGAGTTTCCACATAATGAAAATGAGTATTGCTTTGATTTTAGGAACTAACTTGAACATTGATTTTTTAGAAAGTAGCTTAAGAGATAGAGTTATTACTTATTTGAAGGACTGATTGTAGGGGCAGAAGCAGCTTTCAATTTCTGCAACTTTATTATTTTGTTTTCATAAAGCAGGTAACAGCATTGTTTTGGTTATGTAGAAATCTAAATATTGGCAAACCTATCAAGTACGAAAACTGGCATTAAACTTTAATTGCACACTTCCATGTGGTCCAATTGATTTTAGTTAGTTTGTACAGGTATGACTGAAGGCATAGTTTGTTTTGCAGTCTTTAAGTTGTCAGAACCTTCAGGAAAAGAGAATAGTAATTCTAGGATCAATAATAAAAGACAGATATTGTTCACCTGCTGTGTATTATTTTTAAGGAAATCATGACACTAAACAGATGAGGAAGAGGGGGAGGAACTACAACTGTTTGCAATCATACTTACTAAATTTTGTTTTCTAGATATATTGACAAATGGCAGAGAATAACAGCTCCGAGACACAGATTAACCAAATGAAGTGTAATAGACTGAAAGAATTCTGCTGTGGATCCTGTGAGAGATATTTGGACTGAAGCATCTGTACTGTTATATCTTCATGTAACTGGCAATACTGTAAATCTTAGCGCCAATTAATCAGGTTGAAAGTTATATTTTACAGAACGCAAGCATCAGGCATATAACAGTTAAGCAATTCACAGCAATTTGTAGTATTTTCTATTTTCTTCCGGCATTTACCTTTAACTACAAAATTAGGATCAGAAAGACACCATTTTCCCTTCATTCCACAAAATTTAAATTATGATTTCCTATGTAGCATTCTGTAATCAATTGATAGTTGTCCAACATATTATTTCAGTTTTCTTCATATATTTTTCAATCACTAGCTCTTACCCTGTTACAATTGATATGTCCCATCTGCATGTTTATAATTAATTTGTGATGTTTTAAGATTGTTTGGTATGTACCTGTTATCCAAAGCTAATGATTTCAATAGGTAGTTATTTAAAATTATAAAAAAAAAACCTGTAGTACAGGTAAAAACATTAAGTATTGCCTTAATGTAAGTCTTTAATGATTCTACCATTCTTCAGAATGAATCTGCTTTGTAGTGTTATGTTTTGCAATAACCAATTTTGAATAAATTTATAGGGAGAAAAAATCAGTGTAAGAAAATCAGTCAGATATTACAAAAAAAAGTTATGCATTTACTTGAACATGTTTCCACTGAAGTAGAATTCCCTTTGAAAAAAAAAGTATTTTAACATTTCATAGACATTTAATTCAAGGACACAAACAATGAATCCTTTCCTTGTTGAGTCATATATGTTCCTAGCTTACCAGTAATTCAAGTATATTTTATATACTCTTGACATCCTTCTCTTTTTTAAACTGGGAACAATAGAAGAATGGTGTGTAGAGTGCTGGGTATGATTATAAGCTAGGAAGGTTTTCTAAAGTTGCCACCTTGGTTCTGATAGCAGAAGTAAGCCAGACAATTAAAGTACCCATGATAGGAGTGAATTTTGCTGTACTCTATTTGTGTGAAATTAAAAAGGTAAAGGTAAAGGTTCCCCTCACACATACATATTAGTCGTTTCCGGTTTTAGGGGGCAGTGCTCATCTCTGTTACAAAGCCGAAGAGCCAGTGCTGTATGAAGATGTCTCTGTGGTCTTGTGGCCAGCATGATTAAACAATGAAGACGCATAGAATGCTGTTACCTTCCCACCAGTGGTCCCTATTTTTCTACTTGCATTTTTACATGCTTTCAAACTGCTAAGCTGGCAAAAGCTGGGACAACAGGAGCTCACTCCATTACGTGGTGCTAGGGATTCGAACTGCCTAATTATTTTATGTGTAGATAAAGGCAGATGGACATATAAAATATATAAACCTACATGTTCACAACTTACCACTTGTCTGGGTATCTGAAAAAGACTTTTAAGCTTAATTTTTCAGTTTGAAACTCACATTCCTTCCATTCAGGGAGAATAAACCAATCCATTTTCTATATATCTTCTGCATTAGTGTTTCTGCACCTTGACAATTTTAAGAAATGTAAACTTCATCTCCCAGCATGCTGGTTGGGAAATTCTGGGAGCCGAAGCCCACACACCTTAAAAGTTACAAAGGCTGAGAACACTGTTCTACATGATTACTTTCTTGATAAAACTGTAAAGGTTAGGGTTCTCAAAACTGGAACAATGACAACCTTTGCTATAGGTTTATAAAATTACTTATGAGTTTAAATAATAAATCCATGACTAACCTACTCAAGTAATCATTTGTTTTGTTTTCCAGCAGTGTAAAAATATAAAGCAACTTAAAGATCTAGTTCTAGAAAACAATATATTTATAGCAACAGAATATTTCTTCTGATAATCTTATTTAACAAGGTTAAATAAGTGTTTTTGGTTATATACTAGGTTACCCATGCCCCTTTGCTCAATGTAGTCCCCACCATTATGACTGCATGGCAAAATAAGAAATATTTTTCTCTTATTTCAATCATAAAAACTAGCAATTTTGTATATTCATTTGTCATCAACTTTTTTTACACGACTTCATTTCCACTAAAAGAAGCAGTTTTGTTTTGCAGCTAAAATGGATTGTAAATCAAAATATCAATACAAAATCAATTATACTGCACTACAAATATAAAGTAAACATGGAAAACACATTTACTTTCAGCTGTACAGATACAGCTAAAGCATGATGTGGGTTTAGGTAGGAAGTACCCACTTCAATTACTTATTTCTGAAGTAATAGAGTTTGCTCTGCAAATGTATTAAATACCAAATTTCAGTTAATGAAATTTGAAAATTTTGAAAAACACTTCTTTAACTATTACTAGATAATATTAAGAGATCAACACTGTAGGAAAACTATGCTTAAAATAGCAAGTTGCATTATCTTTGAAATTGACAGTTATTCAAAAGCAAACAATAACAATACTAAAATATATAACATAATCTCAACTTTTATTTATAGAAAACAGAAAACAATTCGTATAGTTGTACCCCTTCCATCGCACATATCAATTTACACAAATGAAACACCACTAGACGCTATGTTGTTTCCATCTTGTAGCAATGCTTTTCCAGTTCCGCTCTGAAAAAAGTAAGACATTTAGAGTCATAGAGTTAAATTATGAAAAATAGCTACCTGGTATTTTTTATTATTAAATGACTTGAAATCACATTAAGTTTATAAATTGGTTTAAATCAATTAAATGTCTCAATCTTATGAAAGTTACTCAATTACACTTATAATAGTTATCCAAGCAGATATAAGGTTGAATGCAATCTTTAACTTCAATATAATCTCCAGGTTGTGGGCAACATGCCTCCAAGAACCAGGGAACAATGGCAGGAAGGAACCATGTCTCCATCTTCTTGGAACTTATCTGGATGGTTAATGAGAAACAAAGCTCTATCCTACTTTTTATGAACTGAGTCATGGCCAAATTGACTTCATATGAAACCAAAATTCCACATATTTCATTTAATTCAAACTAAAGCACAACTTAAATACTATTTATATTTTACCAGCTCGATACCTGTACTTCACTACTATGAAACGATGTGGTTGGGCTTGGTTTTTGTGGAGGAAAATAAGGGGAAAAAATTCTGCCTCTGCCTGCCAGCATCCATCGGTATTCATCTGGCTAGCATCCTGTCAGTGTGTGAGACTGTTTGGAAACTGAAACAGTATTTGCTGCATGACCAACAAGACAGCAAGGAACCTGGGCATGGCTTAGCTCAACTGTTCTGTACTAAAGCTACTTGATGCTGTGAAACTAAAACTGAAATTCCTCTCTTCTGCTTGTATTTTGCACTTGGAACAGATTTCTTTTTGGGTGGGGAGGGGGAGTAGAACTCCTTAGCATAAGAGTGTGTTAATAATAATATACAAAATAGTAATTTTCTGGTGGTCATTTCAAAAAATCCTTTCTTAGTGAGCACCTAGAGCAGTGAGGAACATACGTGCCAAATTTCAAGTTTGTAGGCTTTACGGTTCTGGAGATTTTGTGATGATGCATGAGTGATATTTCACTTTTATATATATAGATTTTATTCTCTTAAGCTAGGAAATTAATTTATTAATCATAGCTTACCATATCATCAAATACAAATAAAGTATCTTAAACAGAAACATTTTCAAACTAGATTTTTTGAAGTTAATATTTATTATCCACAAGATTTAAGTTAAACCTTAGCAAATATATTTTATCTATAATAGAAATTTCTTGTAGTGCTAGAAAAGAGCGAATAATGCTTATTTTATAACACATCAATGTTAAAAGCTATATCTAAACAAAATTAAGGTTTTATCAGTAATATAACAGTTCTATTATCATGTGCCATAATAAAACAGAAGTTAAAAGGTATTTTCAATGCTTTGAGATATAATTCTTGTTTTAAGGGTAACCTTAATATGTTTTCATTATTGATATAAACTGAATGTTTTTGATGTACCTTAACTGGTTAGAGAAATCATCTTCCACATTATCATCATCCCAATTATCTTCCCACACATGTGCATCTTCATCTTCATCTAAACCAGCCCAGTCTAAAGCAAAAGCAATGAACAATGCTTCAATATATAATTCATGAATTTTAGCAACTTTGGATACATTTCCGTAATTTATAAATCAAAATTTTTAGTTTCCAACAGGTATAGTATTAATTTTGGTATATGATTAAATTAAAAATGAATAATAAATTGTTTAAAACTGGTAAATGGTGCATTTGTTTTTGTTAGCAATGTTATCAAAGATTATCAAGTTCCATCATGAATAGAGATCATTTAATACTTAGATCTGGGCTAGAGGCAAAAATCATGGTTTGTAAAAAAGACTGCAGTCAAATACTATAAATGCATCACTCACTGAGTGATGTTCTCAAAACCTGGCCGATAATTTACGGCCACTGATACTGTCAATTTATGAGTTTGGACCAGCCTTGTTTAATCTATAAAAAATGAACAAGTTAAGTGAGAATCAAACAACCCATTTAACAAAATGGGGCAGGGAAATGAAATAAAGCCATAAAATAGCAAACCAGATTCTCCCTAAATAAAGATCACTTATGAGCGCCTAATTTAAAACCAGCAATGGTACACATTAGGAGAAACTAAGGGTTTAGAGACCTGGCAGATGGCAAGGAACAATGAGAAGTCAGTTATTCCGTAGGTACTGCTTCAATATCAATTGGAATTATAATAGGTAGGAATTTAATGCCTGATGTGAGTAAGTTGCACATCAGGCCTTATCTTTGCAAAACAAGTGAGAGCACAGACTCTTAAATAGTATGCTTTTCTTCTAGCTGACTTTCATATTATCAGCATAACTATATAAATCTGAAATGCACAATGAGAAAGGCTGATAAGTGAATAATTTTATGGTGCACATCAGATTTGGTACTAACCGCTACTGATTACTAAAATCAAAATAGTCTATTCAAATGTTTCTTATCTCCACTATTCCCATATAGCACAAAAGCAGTGTCTAGTCTTAGTCCTAACAATAGCGCTATTTGAAGCAAAACCCTAAAGTTCCTGAGTCAGTTCACCAGATTTGCAGAGAAATTATTGCAACTTTATCCAGTGGTGCTTTTCAAAAGACAAAACTGATGAACTGTTTTAAGACACTGACATTTTATTTACTAAAAGTTATTTCATGCATCAGTGCATGCACATTTGGGCAAGACAAACCTTATATAGCATAAATCCTTTTATATTTTGAAACATGCATTGGTTTGGTACAGATGTATTCATACATAATTCTGGTTTTCAGATTAAGAAGGAAGTCTCAGATTATACAGTTTCTTTGCAATGTTACTCTACTTTTAACTTTATCACAGCTCAGATTCTTAGTGCTGCTTAGCGATATTTTGTATTTAAGAAAATTGATCATAAACCAGAACTAGAGATTAATTTCAAATTGTATTTGATGTCTGTGGTATAAAGAAAACATTACAATCTTAACTGAATTTACGGGCTTTTTCAAAAAAGACAAAAAATTTAATATTTAAATGAAATGCTTAATCTATAAACCAGGATTGGATAGCTTCAGAAAAGGGCTATTCAAAAGAGAATTTCCTCTACTGTCTAAGTAAAGCAATTCCCAAAAGACCCAATACTGATTATCAGTTAACAGTTACTGTTATTTTGATAAATTCATAAAATTCATAACATTATACTTTGATTCAAATATTATACTTTGTTTAATAATGCCATGTCTAAATAAAAAAATTGAATTATGGTTATATATAATTGTAATTTAATAATGAATCCCAAATGTACATCTCTGGAAGTAAGAAATAAACACTAGTAAGTTTTTCTGGACCAAGAAACCACTGTAAGTAGTAGGAACAGCAACGGCTAGCCAGCACACAAGTTAAATTTACCCCAAAGAAACTGAATAGAGTTAATATTACTTTCCAGTGTAGTATTTTATAATTGTCTTCTGACACATTAAAAATTTCAATTTAGTAATAAATCTTGGATTATATTTTAATAAATTGAGGTTTTTGTTCTTATCACTTAGTCAAGTCTAACAGGCGTATATTTCATTAAGTACTACAATTCTAGCTTTAGCTTAACTGGACTACTGAAAATATTATTGGAAATTAATAACATGCTAATGGAATATAATGAAAATAAAATGCTTTATTCACTTTTTGTTGAAAGACAAAATATAGCATACAACTGTAGCTGAAACATTTGTCTCAGAGTGTATCACCTATTTAATGTATATTTGAATTTGAATGCGGTTTATTAACTCACATCTTCAGGGAAAATATATTTTATTGAAAAAATATTTGTAAAAAAGATTCCTTCAAGAAAATGCATACAGATTTGTGGTGACACATACTTACCATTCTACATCCCATTACACATTAATTTTCTAGACAAAAATAAAACCAACAAGGATTTTCCAAGATGGCAGAATTTTCCTAACAACTTTGGGTAACACAATAACGTATAGTGAAGATGGCTTTCTCAAAATATAAGACCAGAGGCATAATCAATATATTTTATATAACTTGCAGCATTTGAATATGATTTGTCTAGGAATATTATCACCCCAGATTTTAATCACTATTAAATCTGTTTCACAACAAATTGGACTATATCCATTTAAAATGAATATTCATCTTTTCAAAAATAAGATAGTAAGTCTCTTGTTTATGTAACACACCCCAAATATGCTTTCCCAAAAAGCAACTGGCCTTCCTTAGTATTGAAAACTTTTTGCTTCTCATCCAAAAAGCTTCTTTAGTCCTGAGGTGAAACCTTTTCAAAAAAAAAAAAAAAGGAAGTCCAGTTGTTTTTTGGAAAAGCATATTTGGGATAACCATGACCTGGATGATTAAGAATCTCTATAGGTATTAATTCAGCAGTATGCACTGATACACAAACACATACACACCCACTGTACACAGCTCTCTCTCTTTCTCTCTCTGTTGTGTTTGAGAGATTTATCTATTATTCTAAAACGAAATTGTTTACACTTGTTTTAAAAAAATAGAGTAAGATTTTGAAAATAAGTTCCTTGTGTTAAGTACTATTGTAGCATAACAGAATACCAAAAGCAGAGCAAATCAATTTCAGATTGCAGAATATAGAAGTGAATAACATATTATTTCCTACAATGTAACTTTATTAAAAATCTTATTTTAGAATGTTTTATTATATATTAACATAATTTTTCACTGCAAAACTAAATCATAGCTTCCATATATAAATTGCTAATTTATTTAATTTGCATTAAAATTATTGCATCTGAAGCTTATCACTTCTAATAAACTGAAGGTCTTCTTACTATTAACCTTTAGATACCAAACCTGTTTATATATAAAACAATATTTTACACCCAGTGAATCCATAATATATAAGGAGCACAAAACAGCAATTTTAAATTAAAACATGGGAAGTGAATGTATTTTAATCCAAAAGCCCCTCTGCAATTATATATATTAATAAATACAATAGCATTAGAGTAAGAAATTTCTACACTGTAAAATCATATACTTACTTAAATGATACCAAAAAATCTAACTGGAATATTCGCATTCCCTTAAAGAAGTTGCTAAGCAAGGAAGATCGTCATTCTTTAGCCATTGTCAATTACTTAGAAGGAAAACCTGTGTGATGATTATGCTACATTAATTTACAATACATATGTGTGAATCCTACCTTCATATTCATTATTAACTGTATATTACTATTCAAATCAAAGTTTTGATACGACACGTGTTACAAGCACAACCCACCCACTTACACTCCATCGTTTATGCCAATCAAGGCATCCTTTGGAGCACAAACGGCTTGCTCTGCACTCGATCCAATAAATAGTATGAGGCGTATTCCCTGATACCTTTTAAACCCAGTTTCTGCAAATGAAAACCCATCTATTCTTTTTTTTAGCAACCTAGAGAAAGCCAAGCATACACATGCACATGAACTATCATTCCCAGAATCCCCAGCCAGGTGGTCCAGGACTACGGCTAAAATTCTCACATGTGAAGAACTTCAAGTGACGTCTCCGTTTCAGAAAGAACGAGGCCTTCTTTCGCCCCACGGAAAGTTTGACTTCTTTTCTGACAAGAGAAAGGGGGGGGGGAGGCCGGACCCTCGATGACAATGCCAGGAGCCGTTGGCCTCTTTTAAGGATACCGCGTGGAAGAGGCGGCTCCTCGTGGGGAACGAGACAGGAAACGTGGAATGGAGGCCTGCTTTGGCAAAAGGGGTCCCGCGATCTGGAGCCGTCCTGCAGTGTCGGCTGGGGAGGATAGGTACTATAGTTTCGTCTCTGGAAGGCAAGTAGGTTGGATTGGGAGGCTTTCAGGCCTACCCGCACCCAGGCCAACGAGGCGCAGACCCAAATCCGCGTTAGTTTTCCCTCCCCGTTTTCTAACCTACCTTCGGCAGGAAACTCCTCGAACTCGTCGTCTTCTTCCAGAAGTCCCAGATCCACGGGTTGCTTCTTTTCCGACATCATCGGCCTCGGCCTGCTCCTGCCGCTCTAGAATACTCCAAGGAGTCCCACTCTACTGCTCCCCGCTGAGAATGACGGATAGGCAAGCGTACAGAGTGGAAGGCGCGTGCGCCTTCGACGCGAATAGGACGCATTCAGCTCGTCATTCCTCCCCTCCCCTCCCCCACTCCACAAGCTTGAGAACTTTCTCAATCTTCTTGGAGAAATAGAGGGAAGAAAGAAACTAGGAAGAAGGCAAATAAATCATTAAATAGACGATAAGCCAAATCTGCATTTCTTGATTTGCAACATAGGTTCTTCTCCGTTTCTCTTTTTGTTCGCTTAACAATTCTGAAATAGATTTTGTTTAGAATTGTTCAGAATCTTTATTCCGGGATTGTTTACAGTTCTGTTTAGTAACACGTTTGTAGCAGATTTACTATCATTCTCCAAATACAGGAATGAATAAATTAGAAGTTGGTATGATTAGAAGTCACACAGCATCTTTAGTCTGAAATCTAAGGTTTTATTGCAATCTTTCATTCTGTTTAATTGTTGAGAATTGTTAATTCTTAAAGATGGATGGCTGTATGTATATATGTAGGTATCTATATATATTAAATATACAAATAAAAAATAGGGCCCTCCATTTTAAATATTTTCAAAAAAGTAAAAGGATTTCTGAAAGAGAAAGCTTGTCAGACCAAGAGGAAAGTTCCCACTTTAAATTTTTTTACCCCTTGTTTGTTTTTGCTGTTTGCTGTTTTGTTTTTTTTAAATCTCAGTTGACAAGTTAGTTTTGGTATCAGTAAGATAGTCCTGTAGACTGAGCAACAAACTTGGAAATCTTGATTCCACAGTGCAAAGGCAAGTGCTTGATTAGTATGAGTCACAATAAAATAGGACATTTTCTAGATGAATTTTTCTCCCTTAACCACATAATTAAATTTCACCTGTTTTATGGAATGCATGTTGAAGCTGCCAAAATATAAGTAAATCATTTTATAAGTTCTATTATAGCAAAAAGCATTCAGAAGACAGTATTGCAACTAAAAGGTATTATGTAGATATTCTGCCCCATATTCCTTAAAAATATGTTTGAAAATAACAGAAGGAAACTAGAAAATAATGAGCCATACTAGGGTATTTCATATCATTTTATGAATAAATTGGAATTTATGAATAAATGTGACCGTAAAATTTTCTAATGGAACTGTAGATTTCATTTCCAGATTACGAGAACAATCTAGTTTTACTCACAGTGTATTTAGGATTATAGTCTCATTTTAATAACTTTATATTATGAGTTTTTACATCTTCCAGTTGCAAATTTTGAAATTCAGGGTTAAATCCTTTATGGTTTTATTTAATTTCCTTCATATAAAATCTAGGGTTATTATCTAAATTCCTAACCAGGAAGAGGTCCAAATATGAATTAATCTTCTCTCTCCTAGATTTTGCATGTTAGTTACCAATCTTGTTGAGCAATTACCAACTATAGAGAATGACTTTCTTCTTGACAAGTTATATGCTGTATCAAAATTTGACAATAAATAGCATCTCTCAAACTGATTAAAACTTAGAAAGTTATGTTGCCCCTTCACCAACTGGAATCCCATATTCAGCTAGTATTATCTTGTTTTAGAATTGTCAGAAACATGTATGTGAGTGTAAAATTTGCCATAACTGCTTCATGTAGTCGTGGGAGGAGCTACATTTATGTTTGTGTGTGTATGTGTGTTTACACACATATTCATAATCTGCCACAACTCTTTCGTGCCTGGGCATATCTCAACCAAAACCCAAAGCTCTGCTCTAAACCATTCTATTATAATTATAGTTTCTACTTCGGGAATCAAAACACATTTCTTCTTGTGGAAAGCCTGTTGGATTTAAATCAGATTTTTGTGTGTATTTCATCTACAGAATTTCTTTTTCAACATTGCTAATTCAAATATAGCTACATTAGAACTATTACAACCTATAAATTGATCTGACGGACATTCTACTATACACTAATCATATGAAACATTTCAGATTCTTAGCAAACCATGTATAGAAGAGTTGCCACAACCACGGGAGAAGTTTTTTTCTTCTGGGCTATGTAAATTTTTTTCTTCTGGGCTCTGTGATCATATTAAGAGCAATTGCATTCTTTTCGCTGATGATGTAAAGCTGTTCAATACCACAGACAATACTGCTACCCTACAAAAAGATCTTGACTATGTATCAGAATGGTCAAACAAATGGCAACTTCAAATCTCAACAAATAAATGCTCTGTCTTACATATTGGCAAAAAAAATCAGAAAATAAAATACAAGCTGAATAGTCAAGATCTTGTTGATGACCCAAGCTCTGTAAAGGACCTTGGAATACTCACCTCTAATGATCTAAGTGCTAGAGCCCACTGCAACTACATAGCCAAAAAGGCATTAAGAGTTGTTAACCTAATCCTACGTAGCTTTTTCTCTGGTAATATCACACTACTAACCAGAGCATACAAAACATTTGCTAGACCAATACTCGAATACAGTTCATCAGTCTGGAACCCACATTACGTATCTGATATTAGCACAATTGAGAAAGTCCAGAAATATTTCACAAGAAGAGTTCTCCACTCCTCTACTCGTTGTAGAATACCTTATGCCACCAGACTTGAAATTCTAGAACTAGAAAACCTTGAATTACGCCGTCTTCGGTCTGATTTAAGCATGGTATATAAAATCATACATTGCAATGTCCTACCTGTCAATGAATACTTCAGCTTCAACCATAACAACACAAGAGCACACAATAGATACAAACTCAAAGTTAACCGCACCAAACTTGATTGCAGGAAATATGACTTCAGCAATAGAGTGGTCAATGTCTGGAATACTCTACCCGACTCTGTAGTTTCTTCCCCAAACCCCAAAAACTTTAACCTTAGACTGTCTACTATTGACCTCACCCCTTTTCTAAGAGGTCTGTAGGGGGCGTGCATAAGCGCACCAACGTGCCTACCGTCCCTGTCCTATTGTTTCTCTTATTCTTCTTTTATTTTTCTTATATGTACCCATTTCATGTATTCACAACTATGTATACACTTATACTTATTATCTTGTAAACAATTGGCAAATCAAATAAATAAATAAATAAAAATAAATAAAATAAATGGTTATAACTTATTGTTCTGAGAAGTACAATGGTCCCAACTGCAAATAGCAGATATGCAGCAAGCATAGGAAGTGCTCTTTTGCAAGAGAAAATATTTTTTGGAGAGGGGAGGGGGTGGTGGCCCATACTGGACTTCCATTTCTTCTATATCAATTTAATTATATGGATGATTATTACCAGTAGTGTATGATATGCCTAGTGTCAATTCGTTCATTTTCACTCCCTTACTTGCTATAACTTCTTTTGTCAGCCATAGGCAGATCACCCACAAAAGTTACCCAATTTTCTATCTTATCCTCAAAGTTGATTTTTCAGTAGTGAAACATTTTAGAATTACTGAACTAGCATAGTTTCTGACTTCAATTCCTGGTACCTTTGGGTCCAATAAAACTCTCTTCCCTTACAAAAGGCTCTCAAATCTCAGCTTCGGTTGCATTTGAGAAGGAGCTAAATTATTATAAGGCTACTGCAGTTGCAGGTTTTGGGTTTGTAAGCTATTTGGCAGTTATAGGAGCTTCATTTTCTATTCACCTTTTTATTGCAAAAAATGTGAGTCGCAATTAAAGAATTAGACTTCAGATTCCTTTGCTGCTTAGTATAACACCTATTAAGCACATTTTTCAGCTTCTGTCTCTGTTTAAAGAAGAAATTAGCCATGAAATATTTATAAACTGTTTAATCATTGAAAACCCCTGATTCTTCTGTTAGGTTCCATATCAATATGTCTGCATATATCCAGCTGATTGATTTTTTTTTGTTGCTGAATTGGCAAAGTTATGTATATAATAACAATTTTTATATGTAGCTTATCAATTTATCATTATGGTTTATGCTTGGCTTCTGCAATCAGATTGCTACTGAAAGAAGAGGCAGACGAGGTCATCAAATGTCAAATACATATATAACTCTATCATTCTCACTTTTCATAAATGTATTCTACAGTTATAGAACCAGAGGGTAACTGATTGGATTTGGTAACATACCTACCTGTGGTTCCTGCAGGGAGCAAGATTTATCACTTTAAAATGAAGTTATATTCTTCAGGAGTTGTTGAATTGAGCATCGAAAAAAGAAGAAAACGGATTTCGTGGTAACTTTCAACAAGTTTCAGGAAGGTTAAAACTAATTTCAGGTATAACAATAATGGCCATAAAGCTGCACCCCAAATAGTGTCATATTTGCTTGTGGCAGTCTGAATTTCTGCCATATTTTTCACTTTTTAAAAATAACTGAATAGGATTGAGGCCTTAAACAGAGAGCACATGAAGTGAATACATTGAGAGTAAGAGAATGATTTAAAGTTTCAAAAGGATTTGTGGTATGCTTAACAGAAACTGTAAAAATCACATATATTCCATTTAATTTTGCATTCTGCTGGTGATTCAGACTAATATAGAGTTCAGAGTGCACATGGCAGAACAAGTTTGTGCCTGTGGAGTCTCTGATGTGTTTTCTCACTAGGTACTTACTTCCTTTGCCATAAAATAGTATTTCCAAGTTGCTGGTTCTTTTCCTTGAATACCGAGAGGCTGATTCACGAATCAATGACTAGCACAGCTGGCTTGCAATGTGTCCTAGATTTAGAAGGGGGGAAATATGCAAGATCCACACTAGGAATGTTTTAGACAAGTTGTAACTTGTTCTGTAGATAGTCAGACGTTAGAAAATGGTAAACATTAAATCCCTTAGAACTTTATATTAAAATCTGAATAAGTAGGATCATATGCTAATTTTATAAATAGCAATAATGGAGAAACTCGCGATATCCTTCATAGCTTGGTACTTGACCTCTTTTAAAATGTGCAGTTGGTAGAATAGTTAGAAGTTGGACTAATACTATAGCATTTTTTGTCTGGTTACAAAGGGTTTCTTGGAACATTCTTGTTCAGAAAGCACATTGATTCATTGATGACCCTTAAGAAAATTTCCTAATTATTTGTAGTTTTGCACTACTTGGTCTTCTAT